TCACTTGCGAGGCGAATCCCCCCCCCCCTCTCGGCCCCCCGTCTGTGCGTGGCTGAGGGCAGGCGAGGAGGGCAGTGGATGGGGCAGAGGCGCAAGCTAAACACTCGCTGGCACTAAAGCGGCGGACCTGGCACGAACTAGTATATTTGCGCGTCACACCTCTGAGCACTGAGAGGCAACGATAAATTAGCCAAGGGGAAGCGAGTCGGTCCTGGACCCTGCAGCCCTCTGCCAGGACCAGCTCTTCATCCTGAGTCGTTTTCTGACGGTCCCGGGGCCCGTGGAGGGCCCCTCAGGACACGCGTCCCCCATGGCGAATAGCAGAGACCTGGCTCAGGAGGGAGACATCGACCACGAGCCGGCGATGCATCGTCGATAGATTGGCGATAGGCCTCCGACAGCAGAACGCCACATTCCTGCGCGGGGTGGGCCATAGAACACCATCGGCGATGAATGAGCGATTGTTGGCGACGTGCGCAAGGGGGCACGGGGGAGGGGGGAAGGCTTCTTAGAAGCACCCCTGCTTCCTAAGAGGCGCCGGCCCTACGTCTACAGACAAGGCCCGCGCCTCCCAAGAAGCAGGGGTGCTCCTAAGTAGCCTTCACCCCTTCCCCTGCCCCCCTCAACGCGTCGCTGGGATTGGGACTCGATGCAGCTCCCCGTGAGCCTGTCACCCCCACCCAACGCTGCTCCTGACTAACAGGTCGAAGGGCGGTTGATGGGCCGAGTTTCCACAACCACCACCACCAGAGGAGGAGATGAGGAGGAGAAGGAGGAGGAGGACCTCCCCAGTCTCCATTCTCCCCCGTCCTACCTATGGTAGTGGTGGTGGAAAAATGGCCCATCAACGGTGTGACCTAAACTGGCCCGCCGTCGGGGGCGCTTGCCCCCGGGCGGCTTGACAGCTGCTACCCCCGCGATGGCACGTCGGGGCATAAAAACTTTCGAGCCGCCCTGCAGGAGACCCCGACGTCCACCAAACTTGTGCTGCACTGTGCTTCGCCTGCCCAAGCTCAGCACCCGCTCTAGCTGTACTGCAACACCCGCTGCAAGGCGTTCTGCCGCTCCCAGGCCTCCCTCTGCTCCCGCCGCATCCTCCTCTCGGCAAAGGCCTGCTGCTCGGCCTTCGTCAGGATCTGGGCGACCTCCCTGTGTCCGCCCCGCAGCGCGACGTCCCTCGCCCGCCGCCCGCTGCGGTCCTGGACGAGGACAGAAAACGAAGACAGAAGCATGATTGTCGGAGCTCCGCGCGGTCTTCTCGGATCGGCGCTGGACCCCCACTCTCTGGAGGTCCCAGAGCTATGGTGTGACAGACCGTGCGGTGACCCGAAATCCTAAGAGAACTGACCGCACAGTCCGTCAACACACGGTTTTGGGACCTCGGTGGCCACGGGCGCCAGCGACGTCGTCTTGGAAGAACGACCCATATCCCCAAACCGTGCGGCCACCCCTGACTCACCACACGGTGACGGCGTGGTCACCGCAGCAATTGGGGGCCCTGGCCCCTGGCACGCGGAGCTCGCCAGGGTGGGCATGAACGGAGGGTTGCAGAATCAGCTGACGCAGCAGGCTCTCCCAGCGCCTCCCAGCGCCAGAGGCGCCAGCATGTCGAGGAGATGCGCCAAAACGGCGGGGCCGCAACCCACCGCACGCAGCACATTTCGCAACCTCCCATTACAGTGGAGGCCAGTCCACAAGAAACCTTCCACAACCCTGAGACCCCAGGACGTCCATGGATTTTTGGTGTGGGCACCTCACGCTTTCCGTCGCAAAACCATCGAAACCCAAGAAACCCAGAGCACACTAGAGGCAAGCAAAGTGTTTCTTGGCATGGGTCTCCACTGCATGCCGTGAACTTGCTCTCGCATGGCTTCCCTGGCAAAACTTGCCAATCTGACATCGACCGCCGGCCCTCCTGCGACCAGCTCCCCATCCGTCAGGGAGGGCCCTGGTCTTCGGTCGGGCATGTCCCCCTACAGGCGGATCTTGGACTTCAAAATGCCCCGAACAGATTCCAAAATAGCCAACGCATGATTTTTGTAAAACGTCCCCAGACTGTGTTTCATGTATTTCTGAAGACTCCTCTCCCTCTTAGGGGCAGGCCCGACTTGACCCTGGCCTCCTCGAGCCGGCTGGCGGCCTCGTAGGGCCACGGTGCCACCCTGGGCGGCGGACGCTGGCAGCCTGACCTCGGCCCTCGAGGGCCGTGAGGAACGGCAGCGCCGTGGGGCAGGGCAGCCGAGAAGACAGCCGAGAAAGTCGACCCGCCCCGACCGGTGCCGACCCGCCGGGCGTGTCCCCCTACAGGCGGATCTTGGACGGAGAATCGTAAAAAGACTCAAGACAGACTCAACACATGCTCCAAAGAACTCCAAACAGCGTCCCCAGGCATTTGTCTCTACTACTTTTGGATTTTCGCCCTGTAGAGGGACAGGTCAGACTGAAGACTGGACACGAATCGTCCCCCCCTTTCCGCCCGACCCGACTGGTGCCCCCTGCGGTCCTTCGCCAGCACGTCCGCCCCGTACGCCAGCAGTTTCGCGGTCATCTGCAATTCCTGTGGAAACCACGGCGGGAGGGACCGGTTCAGGTGGGGAAGCGTTGAACAATAATCGGGGATGCGTCGCCGCGAGAATGACGATATGCCCGCGACAGGGGCTCAAGACTTTTTTGAAACCAAATAACGAGCATTATGTGTCTGGGTAGGTGGATACGCCCGCACGTAACATAACACAGTCGTGGCGGGCCGCTCGAATGTTTTTTGTTGACAGCGCTGCCCCTGTTGCTAATCCTGGTGCTGATGTAGCGATTTTGTTTTGCAGCTTTGATCGCCACAAAGCACGTTCACACCGCACGCCCCGCGCTCACCACGAATATTGGTGCAGCAACTTACGCATTCACCACATCATCTGTACATCGCAACAACTGGGTGCATGGCACTGCTTCTGTGCACCGCAAGGCCTGTGCACACAATGGCGAACGCCACAACGCCGTTGCACAACACAGTTGCGGCCACACAAGCACGCTCCGCGTGCACCACAGCGTCTGTGTACAACGCGGTCCGCGCGCACACCACAGCATCTGCTCGCAGCGCGGCGACTGTCGCCTGCGTGCACCACACTGTGTATGTACAATACAGAGCCCTTGTACATTTCGAGGGTCTCGATGGGGCCAATAAAATGAAACTCGTGTTCATGTTGGGGGGGGGCGCGAACGTATCACATTGAATATGCAACCGTGTTGTGTTTGTTATTTTTGGGCCGCCTGGATACCACTCTGGCAAGTTGTTCGAACTGCGTGCGGCTGCGGCGACGAAGATTCCTCCCGAGGGGGGGGGACCCTTGGCGCCTCGAGTTCAGTTATGCCGCGGCTTCGTCTGACAAGGCCCTTACCCCAGAGACTCTCGACAGGGTTCCGATGCGGCTCATGACAGCCCCAAGACAGCCGAAGAAACGCCAAAACTTCCCAAAGGACTTCCAGGACGGGGACCACCAAGCGACAGTTCGAACCTTCCGCTCCAAAGCGCCCCAAACAAGCCCCAATGGACGCCAACAGCGTCCCTTGAGAGGTCACACATAAACCCAAGGGCGCGCCCAAGAGAGCACCACGAGGCTCAAATCCCTTCCTTCTCCCCGTTGCCCCCTGCATCTGCCCGTCGCCTTCGTCGTCCTCCTCCTCCTCCTCCTCCTCCTCCTCCTCCTCCTCCTCCTCCTCCTCTCCTCCTCCTCCTCCTCCTCTCCCTCCTCCTCCTCCTCCCCTCCTCCTCCTCTCCTCCTCCTCCTCCTCCTCCTCCTCCTCCTCCTCCTCCTCCTCCTCCCCCGTTTCCTCCTCCTCCTCCCCCTCCCCCTCCTCCTCCTCCTCCTCCTCCTCATCATCCTTTTTCCTCCCCATCGCCCCTCTTCGTGGCAACCAAGGTCGGCGGCACCGGCCGTAAACCGTTCCCAATAAACAGGTCACTGGGGAGTCACGGGGTGGTCACTGCGCCGTGGTCGGAGCGGTAGTAGTACAGGTATTGCTCCAAGAAGTCGCGATGCACAACAATCACACGAATCCCGCGCGCCACGTAGCAGCCCACGGGAATGACAAACTCTGCGCGCCCTTGTGCCTGCCTACGAATGCACCCCCGTGCCTGTGTACGTCGCCAGAATGTACATCACAGTGGTCGCGTACACCACCAAGCGCGCATACACTTCCAGGTGCCCGACGGTGCAAAACTCCAACAAACCATGGCCAGCCCGAACGTATCAAATTCAATGTGCAAGCTGTGTGTGTGTGTTGATTGTTCTTTTTTGGCTACGGGCACGGCCCCTGCCCGCGTTGCCTGCGCGCACAGCAGTATCAGTGTATACCACACTGCTAAACACCACCACGTCTGTCTGCACCACAAGTGTCGCCGCAGCCAGCGCGTGCGCTATGCACACCGAGCTGTGTGTGTCTTCCAATGTGAGTGCGCCGCCGTGCCTTCGTGGGTGCCAGTGCAGCCTGCGCGCGCCACGCGCCTCTACACACCACGAGCACGTGCCCGCGTACGCTGCAAACACATTACTCGCCCACTACGAACAGCATACCTGCGCGCTAAGCAATAGGCGTTGCTGCAACGGGGGTGGGCGGGGCGGCGGGCTTTTTTGTTTCTACTGGGTGGGTGGGTCGGTAGGAGGCCACATAACGCGCGTGATAGCGGTGGGCTGCTGGGCCTCTGTCGGCGACGAATAGGCGATTGGGTGTCGAACAAATCCGCCCCGAGCCTATCTCACCCTAACGCTGCCCCTGGCTTTCGGGTCATAAGCTAGCTCCCCAGCTGCCGTTCGGGACGATCAAGGCAACCCAGGAACGCCCTCGGCGAGGCGTAGCCGCTGGAAGGTATCCCTCAGTCTGGACAACCGCCAAGACCCGACAAGACGAAAGAAAAACTCAAACATGGAACCCGAAATCCCCCCCGAGTCTATCCCCCCTAACGTTGCCCCTGAGCTCCCCGCCCTGCGCCGCGACCATCAGCGGCGTCACGCCCCCCTGGCCCCTGATCTTCGACGACACGTCAGCCCCGCGGAGAGCGAGCGCGTCCACGAGGGACCACCAGCCCTTCCTGGCCGCCCTGCCCAGCGCGGTGTCGAGGCTCTCCTGCGAGCAATCCATGTCCTCGCACCGCAGCAAGGCCTCAATGACAGGTCTCCTTTCGGGGAAGCAAGACGGCATACGCATAAACTGGCGGAGTTCCGCGCGGCGTTCTGGGATCGGCGCTGCGCCCCCTGGCGGCGCCTCCAACGCCACTCCTGGCGCGCGGAGCGCGACAGGGCCCCGGCCCCCACCCCAAACAGTGTGGTAACCACACCTGGGACGCAGAAGGACATACTGGTACTACGCGTCCTCCTTGGAGGCGTGCGTCTGACGCGAACATAGAATACAGCCGTGCTGCGGTGCATCGTTTTCCCAGCGGTCTGGCCAGAAAGCGCCCGCTGCGGAGCTCATACCATCAGAGTTCTCGTCGCGCGGCGACCCTGGGGGGGCGACGCACACACAATATTGGCATGTTGGGCTGACGCAGAACACATTGTAGCGAGTCAGTGCGGCATCGAGGTGAGCGCTGGTTCGGAATCGTTTCTGCGTTTCCATCCCCAGCGGCATGGCCTGGGCCACACTGGCCGGTTTATCCCCCTGGATGGGGATGTAGGCCGTATACTGCGGGCTTCGAGGGGTGCATCCCCAACTGGGGGGGTCATTTGGTGGAGGTCTCGAAGGGGCTGGGGATGGGGATGGGGGTCGGTTATACGATACTGACTGGTCCCCCCTCCCCCGGCGGGCGCAGCGCGCCGAAGGCGGCGTCGGAGACGCAGCCAGGGGGGCCCTGGCGCCGATCCAAGAAGTTCGGGCGGAGTTCCAACAGCCTACGGTAGGTTCGCGCGGCGTCGGCACGCGCAAAGGTTTTTGACACCGCGTCGATCGTCCAACCTTGAATCGATCGCGGCACCGATCCTTCTAGGTTGAATTCCGTCGGGTCCTGCGGCGTTACCATGCCCCTCGGTGCTTCCGCATCGTCAATCGTGCGGAGGGCCTTCGCCAGCGTCGCCGGCGCGCCATCGCCGCATAAGCCTACCGTATGTTTGTGCCGATGTTTCTTCTTCTGCTTCGAGTGGCACGCTGTTAGCTTCCCCAGGGCCGCGCGTCATCCACGTGGCTGTTGCCGCATCGCCAAGATCGCGTCGTTCTGGAGAGATCTGGACCTCTTCCCCTGGACTGGCCTCTCATCCCGAATCGTCATGTTACTCCCAGGGCCTGGCGGGGAGGGGCTCGAGAGCTGGAAATGGTCCCAACCCCCCGTCGCTGTTTTTCCAAAGGCGAGGCGCTGGTCCAATGAAACCCGCGAGGACCCTCGAGAGCTTATGCTTATGATTAGGTCGGACATGCCCCCCTACAGGCGGATTTTGACGAAAGATGAAAAAACGGAAACACATACTTCCGAACGGTCAAAAATGCTAAGCAAAAATCGTCTCCATACTATCTGTTGACTATTTTGGGATCTTCCTCCTGTAGAGGGACAGGCCCGCCTTAACGACAGGTCCCCAATAGCAGCTCCCCACGCTCCTGGGCGGCGGAGGGCGGGGCTATCGGGTCCCCATCGGCGATCAATGGGCCATTGGTGGCCGATGCGTCCCCCCCGAGCTTATCCCGACCCTGGCGTTGCCCCTGCGTGATCCTCGTCGACCCGTTCTCGGGTCTCAACTCGGGTCTCTGGCTACCGCTCGGGACGATCCAGACACCTCCAGACGCCTCTCGGCGAAGCGCAACTGCTGGAAACACTCGGAATTTGGAAAACTACGTGGAACTGACGAAGACGCCCGTAAACCTCGAAAACCTGTGAGCTGGGACCTTCGAACGTTTCTGTTTGTGCCGCTCTTTGTTCTCGGACTCCTCTTCGCGCGGATGGCAATGTCCAGGGCGGTGAGGCCGCGCCGGTCGGTCGCCGACGCGCTCGCCCCGAGCTCCAGCAGCTGCGCGAGGTTCTCCTCACTGCCGTGGGCCACGGCGTGGAACAGCGGAGTCCAGCCGTAGGCGTCCGTCTCCTGCAGGGGAAGCATCGTCAGAAACACACTTGCAATCATCGTGCTACAAATTTTAGGTCGGGCATGTTCCCCTACAGGGGGATTGTTAGACCGAAAAAAATCAACATTACCCTGAAAAGATTCAACAAATTGTAAAAACAGAATCGTCCCCCGACTATTTTTTGACTAGCTTTGATAGCTCCCCCTGTAGAAGGGTATGCCCAACTTGATCATAAACACTGCTTCCATACGTTTTCGAGTGCTCGAAACTATTTCTGGGATGTGGTGGTTAAGTGCGATGGGACAAGCATAAGAAGAAACATCATCATAATCGGCGACTTCAAAAGGTGTGGTTTGCAAAGGGTTTGGTTTGCAACCGGCATCCTGTGGAACATCCTGGGGGGCACCCTAGGGGGCGCGCGGGGATCTCGCTGGACTTCTCCCGCGCCCCGAGGAGGCCGGACGAGGACAGTGTCGTGCCCCCCAGGCCCCAACGGTGCCTATCGCAAACCACACCCCGGCGTAACCATACCTTTTGCAGTCGCCGACACAAGCACACCGTCAAGCATCGTGCCACTACTTGGTGTCGGAAGAAACGGCAGCGGACAGATCGAGGAACAAACACAAACATAGTCAATAAGGTTAGGTCGGGCATGTCCCTCTTCTGGAGGCATGTTCAAACATATTTTTGTAAGTAGTCAGGGGACGATGTTTCGATGATTTGTTGATAATATTTGAACATGTTTTGATTATTTGTGGTTTTTCCTCCAAAATCCGCCTGTAGGAGGACATGCCCGACATAACAGTAGGGGGTCGGCGCGGATTTCTTGGAGCCTCCAGCGCCGCGAAGGGAAGGGGGCCCAGTGCAGATCCAAGACATGTCAGCTCAGATCTCTGACAATTTGCTCTATGTCATTTCACCAGCCCTCTGGGCGTAAGTAATTCAGAGTGTCTTCTCATCCATCTTCCCCTCTGCCCCTTCGGGGAAGGGTGTACCCCTCCCCCTCTCTTAGGCGTCTGAACTATCTGTCTCCCTCTGTTTCATATATACTGGTATGGATATCTCGAAGGTTTTCAAAAATGTTTGGCCGCGGGAGAAGTCCAGGGGCAGTCCGGGAAGGTCATGGGGGGAGTCGGGAAAATATTATTCAAAAAAGGTCGTTCTCGGAGGCCCCTTGGACCCCGTCTGGGCGCCTCTTGGGATGGTTTGCGACCGTGTCTACCTTGGGCCGTCTTGGGGGGGCACCTTGGGGCGTCTCGGAGCTGTCCTGAGCCGTGTTGGGGCCTCTTGAGGATCTTGACGATGTTCCGTCTTGCAAAAAGGTGGCCCTTGTTGGCGCTTTACCGGTTCGGACGCATCTGAAACCCCTCTTGGACCCCACCAGAGAGCATGTGGGCCCCTTCGAGACCACTGTTGGGCAACCGGGATGGTTCCAAGAGAGCTCCAGATAATCCGAGATGGCTTCCAAGATGGCGTGCGGTCGTCGACGCTAGCCCTGGATGACCTCTAACATGCGTCCACAAGGCGCCCAGAAGGCCACAAGACGCCTGGCCCGAGAGGCGAAAACCATCAAACAAAATTGGTTTTTTCCCCACATGTTTAGTGGGGTTGTGGATTTTTTCCTGCCGCGTCGCACGCGCGGTTTCTCCCACACAAGCCTCCATCCTCCTCTCTTCCCTTTCCTCTCCTCCTCTTCCTCGCCTCACACGCGCGCAACGCATGCGCGGCACGTACATGAGACACGCGTTCTACATACAGCCGCAAGCATGCACACGCAGAACACATGCGCTCAAGATTCGTAGGGCGCGGCAGGCGTGGCAGGCGCAATGCATCATACACCCAAGACGTATGCGCACTGTCGCCCAACGCATCGCAAGCGTTGCATTTCCCCGAGGCCACAGGAGGTGCGCTGGGGGTGGGGACGCTATGCGTCGCAGGCTCGCAGGGCGTGGCAGGCGTGGCATTTCCTCGACGCCACAAGGGGGTGCGCTGGGGGTGGGGACGCTATGCGCTGCAGGCTCGCAGGGCGTGGCACGCGTGGCATTTCCTCGACGCCACAACGGGTGCGCTGGGGGTGGGGACGCTATGCGCTGCAGGCTCGCAAGGCGTGGCACGCGTGGCATTTCCTCGACGCCACAAGGAGGTGCGCTGGGGGTGGGGGCGCTATGCGCTGCAGGTCCGCAGGGCATCGCAAGCGTGGCATTTCCTCGACGCCACAGGGGGTGCGCTGGGGGTGGGGGCACTATGCGCTGCAAGCTCGAATGGCGTGGCAGGCGACGCAGTTTTCGACGCCACAGGGGGTGTGCTGGGGGTGGGGGCGCTAGGTGTTGCGGGGTCGCAGGGCATTCGGATGGGGCGCTCGAGGCCGCGTTCCTGGCTGTCTGTTGAAGTGTCCCGTATGTGGCACAACGTGGTAGGCGTGGCACGTTCTCACTTCACTCCTCCGCCCCAACTGTTCTCGGTCCAAAGGGTGGTCTCGGAGCGGGGCCGCTATCCGTGACGGTCGTCCAGGGCATAGCAGGCATGGCATAGACTCGATACCACAAACGATGCGCAAAAGGTGGTCTCTGAAGACGGCCGCTATCCATGGCGGTCGCACAGAAGCATAGCACGCATGGCATACTCTCGACACCATACAAGGGGTACGCCACAAATGGTCTCTGAGGGCGGCCGCTATCCGTGAAGGTCGTCCAGGGCATGGCAAGCGTGGCATTCTCTCGACACCGTAGGGAATGCGCAAGGGGTGGTCTCTGAGGGTGGCCGCTGTCTAAGACGGTAGTGCATAGCAGGCGTGGCATTGCCTTAACACCACAAGGGGGGGCGCAAAGGGTGGTCTTTGAGGACGGTCGTCATCCGTGGCGGTCGCCACGAACAACGGCGGGCGTGGCATGTTCTCGGCACCATAAAGAATGGGCAACAAAAAGTTCCTGGGTGCGGCCACTATCCGTGACGGTCGCCCAAAACATAGCGGGCGTGGCATATTCTCGACACCGTAAGGGTTGCGCCTGGTGTGGTCTCTGTGTGCGGGCGTTATCCGTGAAGGTCGTCCAGGGCATGCGGGCGTGGCATGTTCTCGGCACCATAAAAGGTTGCGCAACAAGTGGTCTCTGGGTGCGGCCGCCATCCATGACGGTCGCCCTGAACATAGCGGGCGTGGCATACTCTCGACACCGTAATGGTTGCGCCGGGGGTGGTCTGTCTGAAGGCGGCCGCTGTCCGTGACGGTCGTCCGGGGCACAACAGGCGTGACACATTCTTCCTGGTCCCCGCCCTGCTCTCCTGGGACCCTGGGCCGTCTCAGGCCTTTGTCCTTTCTGTGCCCCCTTTGAGTAGATTCCATTCTGCAGCTCCCAGGCCCCAGTTTGCACAGCCAGCTGGCGGGGTCAACGTGGCGGATAGCCAGTAACGCACAGGCTTTTGCCCTATCTGGTCCCCTTCAAGGCAGTCAGGCTCTCAAGGCTTGACCAGCGCCACCAATGGCATCGGCGAAGCAACGGCCACCAACATCATTCTCGCAAATTTCACGTCAGCCATCATCACGCCAAACATTGTATAAGTATGCGGGGTTCCTCGGTAGCGGAGTTCGATACGCGTCCAAAATGTTCCAAGATGGCTCCAAGAGGGCCCCAGAGCGCACAAGAAGGCCTGCAAGAAGGCTTAAGACAGCTCAAGATAGCCTCCAACGTGATTCAGGAGGTTCCAAGATCAGCCCAAGACGGCTCCAAGTGGCCTTGGAAAACCCCTAAGAGAGCACCCAAAATGCCAAAATCCCTTCAAACATTGTTCTGGCGAAAGACCCAACCGTATACAGTTGTGAGTACCATCGTTGCGGATATCGTCTTCGGGGGATCTGCTCATGAGGCCATGAAACATTTGAGGGCTTTTATGTGGAACCCACTATGGGGCCGCGAAACGTGTGAGGGCTGCGCCGCAGTGTGGCTGGACCGCCACTGGGGCCTTCGGTGGACCTCCCTTTTTGGCCACGAAGCGCTGTAGTGGGTGGGGGAGACGCATGCGAACACCGCAACTGGGGACCTTCGGTGGAGCTCCCTAAGGGGCTACGAAGCGCTGTGCTGGGTGGGGACACGTATGCGAACACCGCCACTGGGGCCTTCGGTGGAGCTCCCGACTTGGTCACGAAACGCTGAACTTGGTTAGGGAAGCGCATGCGAATTCCGCCATTGGGGCGGGGGTCACGAAACGTTGTGCAGGGTGGGGGGAGCGCCTTCATGATATGGCCACGAAACGCTGTACTGGGTGGGGGAAGCGCATGCGAACTCCGCCACTGGGGCCTTCTTCAATTGAGTTCCCTATGGGGTCACGAAACGTTGTGGTAGGTGGGGGAAACGCATGCGAACACCGCCACTGGGGCCTTCGGTAGACCTCCCGATGGGTCCACGAAACGTTGTGGTGGGTGGGGGAAACGCATGCGAACCATCTCACTGGGGCCTTCGGTGGAGCTCCCGATGGGGCCACAAAGAGTGCGAGGGGTGTGACGATATGCGAACCCTCCCACTGGGGCCTTAGGTGGAATTGCCTACGAGGCCACGAAACGTGAGGGGTGTGCCGATATGGGGCGGTGGTGCCATGCGAACCCTCCCACTGGGGCTTGCGGTGGGCTTCCTATGCGGCCACGAAGCGTGTGAGGGGTGTGCCGAAAGGGGACGATAGTGCCATGCGAACCCTCCCACTGGGGCTTCCGGTGGGGCTTCCCATGGTGGGGCCATGAAACGTGTGAGAGGTGTGCCCGAATTGGGCGGTGGTGCCATGCGAACCCTCCCACTGGAGCCTTCGGTGGAGCTCCCTATGGAGCCGCGACACGTGTGAGGGGTGTGCCGGATCACGGACATGCGGAGGGCAGAGGCAAGGAGGGGGAGGAGGGAGGAGGGGGAGGAGGGCGGGTGGTGACGCGGGGCGCTGTCTCTTCAAAACGAGGACCCAACACCACAAGATGGTCGGGAACTGTGCAAAGACAATGTCTTTGCTTTCTCGCCTTCTCGCTTCTGATGGCTTTCCGATG